CAAAGTTTACTCTTTGCAAACTAGTTTATTATAATCAATCATACCTTCAATGGAAAAATAATGCATGCCACTTAACCATATTAACTAGCAATGTTATAATAAAGGTCTAAAGGTTATTCCTTTCTTTTTTGTAGTTGAGACTTGTTTCCATGAAAGTTTGGTTTTATTCCTATATTATTTTAGGTGATCCCTCCCAAAGCATCAGTTACTGCCAACCTGTTGACATTCTGATACGAATGTCTTTAAAGAGGTGCCAGATATACCCTTTCCATATGTGCCTTGAATGCTGAAATATCGTGCGCATGAATAATAGATGAAGCAGCACTGGCATTAGTGGATTAGTGCAGTACATCTTATTTTGTATCCTTTTTGTAGCTGTGTATTTAAACTTTGCTTGCTTTGGTTTTTATTCATGTTTTGTTGATAGTCCAAGTAACACTACACCTGGTTAGGTTTAGGCTCTGAAAAATACTTTGTTATGTGGTTGAAGTAAAAATATTGCCCCTGCAAATGATTAACCCTACAAGTTAGAAAATTAAAGTTGGCTACTGTATTTAAAAGTGACAGCAAGGGGTTGTTTTCAGTTGTAAACATCTGGAGAGTTTGGAGTGACAGGCCCACGTTCCTATAGCCTAAACCCAGATATCAAAGGGGTGATTGTGCATTATTCAGAAAGGCAAACAGCTTTGACAGCATTCCACTTTTCAATGCCCTGGAAATGTGGAGAATCTGAATATTTTGCTGACTTGGTGTAATGCATGTAATGCATATTAGGTGTTCATGAGGTATGGAGAACAGAGACCCAGAGACAACTAAAAACACTTGCCTTTTCAGCATGCTAGCTGCATATATAAGAACGCCTATATCAATGTTTGAGTAGTGGTCAGAAGAAAGTAAAAAGGTATACTGAGGATAAACCAAGCCAATTCCGCTATACCTGGTGCGCATGAGAAAATTATCAATATGTTTTTTGTTACATTTTTGTTTGGTGGTGTGGTTTTTCTAATGTGAAATATGTGCTGTGGGTCCAAAAAGTTGGAAAATACTGCCCTTTATAAACAAAATTACTGATTGCATTATGAAGAATTATCAACGACAACATTTTTATATCACACACAAAACACATTTTTAGCCGTTATACATTAGTATGCAGCCTTTCTCTATATCCACAGTACTTTGCTGTGCTATAAATTGCATATCCAGTGCACCCTGAAAAATGATCCTAAAACCTGGGACACTGCAGTTCGTGGTCAGCCTTTGAATGGTGTCTTTTCTACTTTGTATGTCATCTGGCATTCTGAACAGTGATGTATTGGAAAGTGTAAGTTGTATTTATAAGCGTCACTATTAAGATTTATTATTAACCTTTTTTACCTAGAAGTGAAACTCTTGAGGATAAGTATTTCTTCTGTGTACATGTGAGAGACAACATTATGATTTTGTCCAGTCCCATTGTTTTTTTTTAATCTTAGTACGTTTTCTTTTGAACCTTGGTATTAGAGTTCATAGTTTAATGTGAACCTATTAACTGCTTTAGAAGGTAGTCATTAGTCGTAAAAACTGGAATATATTTTATTTTACTTCACATTAGGGAAGTAATGTGATTGTTTTTTTCTTTTAGGGGTAATGTATTCCTTTTATATTAAAGAGCTTTCAGTAAGTCTGTGGCCTGGTTTAACCTATCACACACAGCAAGCAAAGATGACAAAAAAGTGTATAATGGCAAGAAAAGGAAAAACATATTAGTAAACAAGTATAGGTGGAGGACTGGGTAGGTTGTCAGTACTTGTATATTAAGAACTGTTCTTGACCTGAAATGCTTCTTTACAAAGTCCTCCAAATGTATACACTCCATACTATCTTTCCAAATCCCGAAAATATGACTTGTTCCCAGATTCTGTAGTGCCTTTGACTCTCCAAAATGATTACACCATGTTCCCAAGCGGGAGTAAGATAGCTACAACTGTGTGCATCAAAGCCATGCCATTTCACAGACACTTGAAGAGTGCATCTCGACTTTTATAAGTGACTGCACACACACACACTCCCTCAAATCATTTCCGATGATTCCCCAGCTCCTCATACACTCACTCAAACTTGAAGGAGTTTTTTTTTTTTTTTATACTCTGTAGCTCTCACAAGGCATTCATATCAGCTAATTATGAAAAGGCAGCAGGCTGAGAAATGAGATGCCTCCCTAGTACACTGCCTGTATAGGAATGTTATGTACATTTAAGATTTATGACTGCTCTTGATTTTGATTTCTTTATAGCACTCAAGGAATGGCATAAACGTTGGAGTGTGACATAAGAAGTAATTATAAGTTTGCCTAGCTAATCTCTCTGATTACAGCATTATCTCTACAACCAATGCTAATCACAACAACAGTCGCCTCAAGATGCTTTATATTGTAAGGTGGACCCTATAATAATACATACAGAGAAAAACCCAAATATATCACCTCCTATGAGCAAGCACTTTGGCAACAGTAGAAAGGAAAATTCCCTTTTAACAGGAGGAAACCTCTGGTTACTAAAAGATGGAAACGAGATAATTAATTAGTTATTAATTAATTAGTTTGGTGAATGAGGGAGCAGAATTTTCACTTATTCGGGTAACTTCAGGGTTAACCCTGGATTTTCTGTACAATAAAAGAGGTTTTCTTCTTACTGGGGTAAGGTGGTGTGGTAACTTACACTGAGAGTCTTAGAGAGCAACAGATATGGATGGTTGAGTGATTCCTAGAAGATCTTTCGGACCTCTGCCAGGAGAGTAGGAGGGTCTTTCTCCTTTCTACCCATTGTTTTTTATCAGCTTTGCTTCTTTGTCTCTGTGAGGTTAAGCCAGGCCACACAGATATAATGAAAGCTCTTTATTATATAAAGTATAACTCTAAAAGAAAAAAAAAAAGGCATTATTGCTCAACGAGTCCATCATCAGTTGCCATCTGGTCAAAGTTTCCATGGTCTTTAGGGGATTGTATTTATACGTATAGAAAGCTGACAAAAAGCAGTTCATGCTATTTGCATATATCATATTTAGTTACTATGATAAGTACTGATCATGCAGGATGATGGCACTAAAACTGGTCTAGCCACTGCGTTATGTCTCATTTTATGTAACTATGTGTTTTGTTAGATAAGAATGTCTTTTTTCTTTCCTCGGTCAAATGAACCAAAGTCTAAAAGAGCCTTTAGCGCCTCATTTACTATTCACTCATCCATATCACTCATACCATTATTACTAATAAATGACAAAATCATTCTGGTGAAAGACTTTTAGGGTCTCAGCATGCCTCGAATTACCTGTGATCTGCTGTCTGATCACTTTGAAGGGCAAATGTTTTTATAGTTAATCCAAATGACCAAACTCGGAGGCAAGGAATTTGGACGAACCGTCCCCTTGGCAGTTTTATTCTGCTTTCTTGTTCTAATGCCAAGAACTCTCTTGGTGGTGCCCATTAGTGTCTTTGTCCTGTAGATAATAAAACTTGGACTGTCAGAAGTCTTTCATGATGTTGCGCTTGGTTGTACAGATGTTACAAGAAGT